TAGTAAGATTTAAGTTATTGCCGGTCACTATGTTTTTTTAAGGAACATGTCACTATGTTAAATAATGAATTTGCTAAAAGTTTATGCATTATTTTCAAGCCATATTATTTGAAATGGAAAATGAGAAGTATTTTTTTCTTTAGTTCTTATCTATTTGTTTAGTTCTTCTAAATCAAGTACGACACTATACTGTCACACCTCCTCTCAATTTTTTCTAGATAATTTGTATACTCAAGAGATTTTTTTGTTGGTTGTTTTTGTAGTTCATGTTTGCTAAAATGTATTCTAGAAAAGGACATGTTGTTTATGCTTCTATCACTTCAGAAGAGAATTTTTGCCAATTAGCATCTATCAGCTCAAAATAGAAGTTTCGTCCATTGAATGTGTACCACTTCGGATGTGTATGTTATTAGAATGATTGATGCATGCTCAAGCTCAAGAATGTCATTTTGAAATAAAGTTAAGAATGGAAATAATTTATGTGCACATACATAAATCTTGGAACTATTAGACAACTTCTTAGATAATTTATTATTTCGGCATCCCGTGCAACGCACGGGTAAAAGACTAGTTACTATATAAAAAACGGTAAGTACCGAGTTATTGATAAAGTATATTGATGTAGATAGAGAAAAATATGGACCGTATAAACTACATGTAAACCTTTTCAAATAATAATAATAAGAAGGTTTAAATATGTTTTTAGTCCCTGCAAATATAGCACACTTTGTTTTAGGTCCTTGCAAAATATTTTCTTTGTTTTCATCCCTGAAATTTATGGATGAAAAACAAACAAAATATTTTGCAGGGATCTAAAACAAAGTATGCCATATTTGCAGGGACTAAAAATTGAAGAACCTGCTTGGGAAAACTATTTAATAAATTAAAAAGAAAACAATAGAAATTAATTCTTATAAAATTGTAAGTCCATTTCACTCATCATACTTGGTAGTGCTCAACATTGTTTCTATTATTTCTTTTTTCTTTTTCCTTTTTGTAGTAGATATTATTTTCATACTATTGTTTTTTTCTAACATCATTTTTTATGTCAAATTCAAATGTATACGGAGTATTATTTTAAAACGTAGGGCCGGAGTAGAGATAACAACCGGACAATATGGGGCGGGCAATATGGGGTGGGGGTTCACTCTCTCATCCGCCCTGATGTACGGAGTACATTAGTACTTCACACATTGAAATTTGAGAAACTAAAGCCCATGGTTTAGATACCACGCTTTGTAAGCTTGTTGTTTAATTGTGATTGTACTTTTAATAGTTACTACTTTATAACCCATATTACACAATGATCTGGAATTGTTTTTTTATGGAATTTTGACTTTGCACCCCACGTTTTGGGTGCTATTGAACTTTGCATCCAATTTTAAAAAAACTTTGAGCGCACCTCATTTCCCTTAAAATCATTTCACTCTGCACCCTATTTGAAAAAAATTCTTCACAAAATGGTATATGATGGAATGCAAAGTCAAAAAATTTTGAAAATGAATTGCAAGGTCGAATATCACCTAAAAAGTAGGCTGCAAAGTCAAAATTCTCCTTATGTGGAATATCACCCAAAAGTGGGCTACCAAGACAAAGTAAAAAAGGATGAAGAAGATTTTAGCTTCGGATGTGAAAATGATTGTGGGGAAAACCACTATATGTAGGCTTATAGTTGTTGAAGACGTCAATTTTTTTTGGAGCGAGAAAGAAAGTTTAATAGCATTGAGTCTAAGAAATTGATTGCAAAATTTATATGGAATGGGGATGAAAGAATGAAAAATGCACAATAATTATTTAAAGTTTGATACAATTAGTTATCCTTATATAATTTAATTTTGAGTGGGTTTTCCTACTCTTTGTACTCTTTTTAATTAATAAATTGGTAGGTTGTTTCCTGGCCCCTGGCCCCTGATTTCTGAAAGGAAATCTGGAATTAATACCGGGTAAAAAAAATTAAAGAAATGAAAAGTGCACAAAAGTATGTGTGTGTGTGGGGGGATGGATGTTGTAAGTTGTGATAGTATATATCATTTTCATTTTCATTTACCCCAGTGCCGCAAAGGCTCTCACCTACGGTGGGTAGGGGGGTTGGATGTACGCAGTTTTACCCCTGTATTAAAGCACAGAGAGACTGTTTCCGGATGACTCATAGTGAAAATCGCGTCCAAAATTGAAATTGCATGGACTGACTACTGCTTCATAACAAAGAAGCGCAGACAGTTTAGCGAGTCAAATAAAAATACGAAAACCAGGAGAAGTCACATATTTTGCGAGATAAAAGTTGAGACTTGTGTAACTAAAAGGATGGAAGAAAGAAATTGATTTGCAAGAGTTTAAAGTAAATATGTAAACATTTTTACTCCTATTAGTTAGTCATTAAAGTTTACTTTTTGTTATAAAGAATGGACACAGAATTATGTAAGCTAATTTGTATTTTAAAAATTAATCACAGGTCGTAAAGTTATTGTATTTGTGAAAAAAGAAAAAATAATTTTATTTTCATTGAGTGGCCGACTAATATGATATTTTTGGGATTTGTTATAATCACTCTTGCTCCTTTTGTCTATTTTGAAGTACCTATATTTAGAATATAAGAGTACGAATGCTTGCATTTTAATCATGAACTAGTGTAAAGCCCGGGGCAATGCCCCGGTGGCACCACTGGCACTGTGGCACGTCAATTTAATATGAGGGAAAATAAAAAATTATTTATATGATCTAAAATTGTGTTTGTTATTGTGACCTTTGCAGTTGTAGCTATTAAGGTCATTGCAATGCGTATTGCGGTTGATGTAATGTGAACTATTTTTACATTCAAAAGATCAGATATAAGAAATATAGATTAATGTTGTAGTCTCGGTGCAGCCCAATGTGGCCTGATGCGACCCGATGCTTCCCATTGCGGCCACATTGCAGATTTTTCGTGTAAATAAAAAATCTCTCCAACATTGTGGCACTGTGTAGTTGCGTTGCAGACCACAACCACAATATTGCAACCGCAATACATGATCCACAATATGGTCTATATTTGTTTTCAATCAAGTACGTTTTGTTACTTTCTACGTCTTTTTTTAGTATGGAATATTAGGTGTTAAACATGATAAATATTTAATATCTAAAAAAACTATCAATGAAAAAGGTTCATTATACTAATTTAAAATGGGTATCACATTCGATCAAATCATCAAATGTATATTTGAATGTCAGTTTCACACACATTTTTTTATATGTAGTTCGTATTATTATTTTGAATCTTATAATATTTAATATCTAAAATTCAAATCTAGTGTTAATAAATTTTGACTATGCCTTTACGTTCAAACTATTGTAATATAAACTACTCCTATTTAAATAAAATTTGATCTTAATATTCATTTATTGTAAATTCGACTATCCCTTTACATAAAAAAAATACACACGTAAATGTATATAATTTCAACTTTAGATATTTGGAGAAGAAAGGTAACATTAATATAAGCTCTAATCTAAGAGCTCTTTGGTGACCCTGATTTCTGGCTTATTAGATTTACCAGTCAATTTTTTCACTAAATATGTAACCATCGATTTTGAGCACTAAGTTGTGTAAAAAAAGAAAAAGTAAGGTTGTGACTACTTTTCGGGCTATATTGGTTAAAGTTCTTGTAGACAATCATTTTAGCTATTTTTTTCTACAAATTTTTCTTTATTTTATCAATAAAATATATTTTAAATATATTTTTTTCATAAATCGGCAGAATCAGCCAATGCAGCCACTTCAGACAGAAGTTAATAAATTTCAACAGAATCAATCAATACAACTGATTTAGGTATTACCAAACGGGCTCTAAATATACCTTTTCATCGGTCAAAAGTAGCTCACATAATATAAGTTGATTTAGATCGGTTTGACGGACATTATCCTAGTGAATGATTGGCCAGCCTTCACATAAAGATCAACTTTGCTTTTTATTTGAGATCTCTTTGATGCAACCATATTTCATTAATTAACGGGTGAGGACCTACCATTTTCAGGTGTAAGAATTATGTGAATATATTGGAGAAATTACCCTAAAAGGACTAAAAACGTTTGAATTTCCCAAAATATGATATCATGTTTTTATTATCAAAATATGAGTAATTACTGTTATGTTTTGGCAATACCGGACTTTAAACATTGCAGTTTTTTCCAAGTTGACAATAATTACTTCTATTTTAGAAATAAAAACATGACAAACATATTTTGAAATTCTCAAACATTTTTGCTCCCATTTCACGATTTTTCCCATTATATTGTTGTGTATATACTAATTGTTACAATACTTATTAATTATTTATAAGATTGATTATATGACTAAGGATGAAATGAAGTAGTAAGAAATAAGAATGAGTTTCAGTTGGTGTATCACATATTTACGTGTATTAGAGTCCTATTATGTGTGTTACAACTCATTATTTAAAGAATTTGTATTACATGAAGTGATAAAGAAATTTAACCTGGTTGCGTATCATTTTTTTCTTTCTGGTTACGTATCATTAGTAGGTATACTTTATCGTGTTTTAAATATACTTTAGCTAGTGTAAAATAACTTTATCTTGTACATATGTTTTAATTTTATAATTTAAACATGTACATGTGCGAGATCAAGAAATAAAAACTTAAAAGTGATTGAGGACTCTATTGTTTGTATGATTATGGTTGTACACTATTCTCTTTGCTCTTGTTTTTTCTTCGTTATTTTCTTGAACGTTTTCCCCAGCTATTTTTTCTCCTATTTTTTCTCACCTACGTTTTTTTACTGTTCCTACGTTTTCTAAATAAATGTTATAATTAATGTTTTAATTAAATTTTCATAACCAATAAGACAAAGACACATCATCAGTTTATAACTGAGTTTTACTATATAAAACAATAGATTTTTGTTAGTTTTAATAGTCAAACGATTCAAAAAGCAGGAAGAATGAAGTCCACTCGTGCGTTTTGATGTTTACCGTGTAAAAAAACACTATTTTTAGAATTTTCAGGAAAAGCAACCTTTTGATATGCAGCACATTTTGAGAGTCATAAGCGTTAGGAACGGAAAATTCTTCTATTCATAATCAGAACATAATAAGAATAGGAGAAGCAACTCTCTCACTCAACTATTACAAAAAAAAAACAATTCTCTTATACAATCACTCTATGTGTATGACTTTCACTATTTTTCTCTCCGATTTTTGATGCTTTTGATCAAGCAAGAACCATCCTATTTATAGGAAAATGCTGGGAGACAATTGCATGCTTCCCATATAGCATCCCATGCCTTCCTATGCCTTCCCATGCCTTTTATGTCACGCCCCGGACCGATCCGGACACGTCAACAACCCGCCGTACAATACGAATAGTCAACCAAAGTCAAACACATTCATATTATACAAAGCGTCTCGAATATCATTAACACATAAGTCATCCATAAACATGCATAATAAGCAATTAAATACACAGCGGAAACATAGTTTGAAATCAAATGCCACATGTCTGTTGATTAAACCCCTGAGCAAAACCCCTGAGCAACTAAACGAGCTTTATGACGCTCAATAGACTCATCCGAATTACATTTAGTCTTATAAATCCACTTGGAGCATTAAGCATTGTTTCACTCTTTCTATTTTTGGTTTTGATCACTCTCTAGTTATGATACCAAATGTTAACCAAAAGCTTAAACTGAAATATAAATCTTGGAGAAGGCTACGATACATGAAGGAGCAAAAAAATATTGTAATATATATTATTGAACATTATAAGGCTTTATATAGTTTTTACAAAGGTGAAACAAATCATGCACGTATAAGTGAACTGAACTAACTCCTACGAATAAGGTCAACCACACGTTTGAATACATGGATAACAAAAAGATTTGATCAATTCCTAAAAAACAGCTAACCAACTATAAGTTATTCATCAACATAGAAATAAACAATAACATTGCCACGTGTGCATGGCATCGAACAACGTTGCATGCGTTCCTATGTTCAAGCTTGATCAAAATTCAACACTTCTTCCAAAAAATTCAATGGTAGTGATATACATACTAGATGTTGTAGCGTTCTCTCGTATCTCGAACTGACTTATCGAATTATCTCTAGAAGAGTCATCACCAGCTTGTTGCGTACTCTGCGTGGCACCATTTGTCGCGTCAATAAGTCCTTGAAGGTCAAACTGACTTATCGAATCAACTCTAGAAGAGTCATCAACACCTTGTTGCGTACTCTGCATGGCACCATTTGTTGCGTCAATAAGTCCCCGAAGGTCAGATCCTACTTCTATCATGCATGGTCGATTTCTTGGCTCCTCTTTCAAACATTTCATTGTGGTTAATGCATCTGCCTTCATTTGTTCCATATTGCCCTCTACGACAAGAAAATGGTCAAATATGTCAACCAAACGCTCTTCCTGCATAATCGGCTTAAAGGAGCACACCATAAGGTTGTTAGTGCTTCAAATATAGTTAGAGGTCTTTCTCGGGTCAATAATTCTACTACTATTACACCAAATGCGCATACATCATGATTGTCATCAGTCAGTTTACGCGTTTGGTGTAGTACTAGTAGAATTATTGACCAAAGAAAGACCTCTAACTATATTTGAGAGCACTAACGATCTTTTGGTGAGCACCTTTAAGTCAACTATGCAGGAAGAGCGTTTGGTTGACATATTAGACCATTTTATTGTCATGGAGGGCAATTAGAGCCGTCAAAACGGGCCGAAACCCGCGGGTTGGCCCGTTTCAACCCACTTATAAGTGGGTTAGGGCTATCATTTTCAGGCCCGATTGTTTTGCGGGCTTAGTGGGTCAACCCTAACGGGTTGCGGGTTTAGCGGGCCAACCCGTACGGGTTGCGGGCCAACCCGCGGGCTGAGGACAAATATAATTTATTCTATGTGTTTTTAATTATATTATTTCTATATAAGACAATTATATCTTCTATTATACTCTCTCTTTACTTCTAGTTCTTTCCTCACTTCTAATACTAATGTATTTTGTTCATGATATCCAAATTAGACTAAATAAATGTATTTTTAATGTATTCTTTGCTATATTGTTTTATAACATAAGGACTTCTATGCTGTTTTATTCATGATATCCAAATCAGTCTAAATAAATGAGAAATTAGGTATTTGCGGTATTTCAGCTTAAGTATACCCACATAATACATTAAAGCTTTTTAAGTATTTCATCTTTTAACTTTTTAAGTATACCACTTACCCACGATGATACATTCAAACATACAACCAAAGGATTTTCAAGCACTAATTTTTTCCTTTTTAATTGTGTTTGGATTTTAATTTAGATACTTAATTGCTATTACAATTGTGTTTGGATTTTAATTTAGATATTTAATTGTTTTTTTGTTTTGACATTTATGGCCCGCGGGCTGGCCCGCATAACCCGTGGGTTAGGTGGGTCGGGTTAGGGTCATAAAAATTCTGGCCCGATAGTAAGCGGGTTGGCCCGCCCCGACCCGTGAAACTCATAACCCGCCGCGGGTCGGGGCGGGTCGGGGCGGGTTGGCCCGTTTGACAGCTCTAAGGGCAATATGGAACAAATAAAGGCAATTGCATTAACCACAATGAAATGTTTGAAAGAGGAGCCAAGAAATCGACCATGCATGATAGAAATAGGAGCTGACCTTCGGGGACTTATTGACGCAACAATTGGTGCCATGCAGAATACACAACAAGGTGTTGATGACTCTTCTAGAGTTGATTCGATAAGTCAGTTTGACCTTCAAGGACTTATTGACACGACAAATGGTGCCACGCAGAGTACGCAACAAGCTGGTGATGACTCTTCTAGAGATAATTCGATAAGTCAGTTCGAGATACGAGAGAACGCTACAACATCTAGTATGTATATCACTACATACCGTTGAAAACTTTGAAGAAGTGTTGAATTTTGATCAAGCTTGAATATAGGAACGATCTAATTAATCGCACTCCAATGTTTTGACGGGAAGAAATACAAGGACGGATCCAAGATCCATGATCTAGCATTTTACGTCACCACTAGAATGGTTGGCATCAGATGCATATACCAGAATTATGATGAAGACTAGAAAAGCCACACGTTTTGTATTGATAGTCATAACCTGAGAATAAGAGATCATATAAGAGTCATAAGTTAATGTTTTGCGCACTTTAGCTTGAAGCCTGAGTCTTATGAGATTTGTATATTGTATACTTCGTATATTTGAAAGACAACTTCTGAGCTAGATAGGCTGTCAGTGACTAAGTAAAATTATTAAAATCAAAATTACTTACAATATAATGAAAGATGTGTACGTGTTCTGAAAGTGCGAATTTGAATTTTGTTCGTTTTTCTCTTTCTAGCATTAGAGCTTCTGAAAATACGTTGTTCGCTTATTCTCGTGTAGCAATGTTGTGATTTGTGAGTGGACAAGTAATCTTTTTACATATTTAAATACGCAAGGTAGGTGTAAGAATCTGTTTTGTTCATCCGAATTGAATGTTTTTTATCTTAACATATTAAGATCTAATATGATTTGATTTGAACTTTTATGACTTGATGTGAATCTTTCCGGCCTGATCTGAATTTTTTTTATCAGGCGATCTTATCTGAATCTCTCTTACTGATCTGAATTTTTCTGATTTGGTCTGAACCTATCAAAAATAATATTATTTTTAAAAGATACACATCCACCAGTACTTTTCAAATAACTTATACCTTGTTTAACCAAATGAATCTTCTCGAAATAAATAATGGGTTTTGAATTGCAATTTTTGTCTACAAAGAGGGGTGTTTGTCAGTCACGAGGAGCTACGTTTTCTTAATATTACAATAGTTTGTATGAGATTATTTATTTATTTTTAGAGTAATGTGTAGTATGATATTGCTAATTCACATGCATATAGATGGTGCATATTATATTTGTATTAATGCTAAAATAAGTTAAAGTTTATTAAATTATATGTGCAATAAATTGTTTTTAGAACGCAAGAAGTAAATAAATTGTGTATTTAATGTCAAGAAACATTTATATATTGTGTTTACTTCACATAATCTAAAAATTGTTTAGTTAGTGTGCCTGGTATTTAATATCATTATACGTAGTATATCTTAAAAAAATGAGTACTAATTATCTAATTATGATAACTAAACATTACAAAACTAGAAATTTTTATATAATACTACCTCCGTCCCGAAACAGTTAGCCTTATTGACTTTTCTTGGTCAATGATAACAAAATTTGAACAATGATTTTAATTATTATATTTTTATATAATTTTAAACTTGATAGTTTATGCTTTGATGACAATATTTTGAACAATGAACATTTTGATATAACTTTCATATTAAACAATATCATTAGTCAAAGTTGATTGGTGAATTTGACAAACCTTTTCGCGACGGGGGAGTAAGTATTATAACTCTTAAACAATGAGTTGTTCTATTGTTTATTTGTTTAAGTAATGATAAATTATTTTAGAAGTTTTTTCTTTTAAATATATTATTAAGTACGTAGTATTATAATATACCAATCAGATCCTACTGATAGCAACACAACCTTTTCGCTCTTTTTGGAAGCAAAAATCACATATTAAATGGCAGAAGGAAGAGACAGAGTATTACCCAAATTTCAGACTCTGCTGGGAACATTTACACTAGTCAAGGGGACACTGGAAATGCTGTTACTTTCTTTTCAAATTTGTCCTCTGTTCGATAGGAGGTGGATATCACTGAAATCCTGCACCATATTCCTACATTGGTTAGCTCGGATGATAACCAATTAGACCTGCACAAAACCGGGCCGGGCCGCCCAGTCCGCCTCACCGGCCCGCACAAATGGGTGGGCTTGGGCATATATATTTACCCAACGGGCCGGGCCCGGGCCGGCCCGCAATAACATATGGGCGGGCTTGGGTTAGGCCCGCTACATTTAATATATATATATATATATATATATATATATAATTTATTTACATGTACATTTATATTTTCTAATATAATTTATCTTTATACATATTTATAGTTTATTATGTTTAAATTTAGGTTTTTAGATCTGAACCACTAGCCCAACTAATATAGTATCTATTTTTGTACTTAAAGATAATACTTTGTGCTTGAATTTTAAATTTTAGATATAGTTTCTCGTTACTATTTTTGTGTAAGTATTATTTTTGTATGTGGTGAAAGACCTATAAACATTACATGCATATTAACAATTTTTTAAATGTTGTAATATTAGTTTTAAAGTATTAAAAAAAATCGAAAAATATAAAGTTTTTCCGGGCCCGGAGGCCCGGTGGACTACCCGGCCCGCTCTTATGGGCAGGTATGGACATGGGGTTAGGCCCGTTTTTGCGGGCCGGGCCGGGCCCGCCCACATATGATGGGCAAAAAAATTATAAAAAGCCCGGCCCGAGCCCGGGCCGAACCCGTTTTTGTGCAGGTCTATAACCAATTATTATTAAAAATGCCAAACATTGAAGAGGTGAAAGGTGCACTATGGGATCTTAATAAAGACAGCGCCAAGACAACGCCCCAGGTGATTTCAATAGGAGATTTTTTAGAAAATGTTGGGATTTTGGGATTTCAAGATTTCTTTTTGGGAAATCCTGTCCCACAAGGTATGGGACCTCTCTAATTGTCCTCAATCCTAAAGCAGACAGACCTAGCCTTTTCTCTGAATTTAGACCTATCTGTCTATCTACCTTTATCAGTAAGGTCTGCACAAAGGTTTTGGCCTCCAGATTGAATTTAATTCTTCCTAAAATTATTTTAATTAAACAAGCTGGCTTTATGAAAATTAGGGAGATTTCATACCACATTTTGATTGCCCAGGAAATGATCCAAGCTATTGATAGGATAAAAAATCAGGGGGGGTATATGATTATTAAACTGGACATGGCAAAGGCTTTTGAAAAGGTTTCTTCGAAATTCTTAGAGGCTGTGTTGGGAATATTTGGTTTCAGTTCACATTTCATTACTATTATTCTGAAATTTCTTCAGAGTACATCTCTTTCTATATTGGTAAATGGTTTACCCCATGGTTTTTTCAAACCAACTAGGGGCGTGAAACAGGGAGATCCATAATCTCCTCTTTTTTATTTGGGATTAGGTAAAAAATAATACTAATTAAAAGGATTTGGACAAATATAGTTTCACTTTTAATAATTTCCAACAATATGACTTTGCGGGTGTGCCGTTTAGAAACATAGGATTAATATGCCAAATTTTTTCCCCAGTCCTGCCTAGTCATAAGGCAGTAAATTAATACGGAGTCATTTGCGTGTGTTTCCTAGGCAACGAACAAAAATAGAAAAAATACTCCATAATTTATTTGATTGTTATATTATAATATTTTTAAATTAGTAATTGGTATGTCGGGTAATAATAACCTTATTGGATTGGAAGAGAAGGTTTCCCTGTTTCCCATTTGGGTTTTGCGGATGATCTATTTATTTTCCTAAATGGGGATTCTAGATCTATTCTTGCTTTTAATAAATTCCTCCAAAATTATGAGAGAACAACAGGGCTGACCGTTAACCTTCAAAAGAGCACATTTGTGACTGCTAAAATATCTTCTGCTAGAATCCTGAGGATGAAAGAATTGTTGGGGATGAGGCATTCATATCTCCCTTTGAAATACCTGGGATCCTATCTGCATAAAGGCACCAACAGGGTGAGATATTGTGATAACATCATCAACAAATTTGATAAAAAATTATCTTCATGGAAACAGAAAAATCTGAGTCAAGGGGGCAGACTCATTTTAATTAATCAAACACGTATTGAATACTATCTCTTTGCATTTTATGGCTGTTGATACTCTACCCAAAACTGTTTTTAGAATTCTTGAAAGAAAGATGGCTCACTTTTTTGGGATCTAGTAACAACAAACAAAAGTATCACTAGAGGAATTGGAAGGATCTTTGTCTTCCAAACGATGAGGGAGGGGTTAGGGATAGGTATTCAGTTACTTTCTGACATTAAAAAAGCCTTTTTATTGAAATTATGGTGGAAATGGAAAGTAAATAATTCTTTTTGGGCCAGATTTTGTCATGATAGATATCCCAGAAATGGCAATATGACACCTAAAGTGGCCGATTCTATAACTTGGAGGAGATTATGCAAGATTAATAACAGGGGCGAATGTTTATCAGGTTATGATTCAAATGGTAATCTTATTTGGATCCCTGATAAGGATGGGCAGTTCACCTTGGCATCTGCATATCAAGGGATCAGATGGAGAAAACCTGGAACCTTTTCTTCTCGGCACACCTGGAATAAGCATCAAACACTTCAAATTAAACTATTCACTTGGAAACTTATCAATAACCTGCTGGATATTTACAAGCAGAACCTACCAGGGATGATTATAACCTGGAACATATGGAAGATCTACTCGAATCTGGTTTGGGGTAGCATGAACTCAGCACCCTCTATCGAATCAATCATCTTCCAAATTAAAGTACACCTACAGAATAAATCAAATTGATTTATTCTTTCTTCTATGTTACACTAAAATTGATTCTAGAAACCAATTGCACTGATAGCATTGTAGCGACACTCTTAAAGTGTCAAGAAGCATAAAATCCTCACAAGAACACAACAATCATATAAAACGTTATCTGGTTCAAGACTTAAATCGGTGTGGACATATTTAGGTGGGAGTGAAGCTGAAACTCTACCAGGTCATTAACTTATATACATACACAGATACACACATATATAGGGTGAACATCAGATACAAAGTTTGCTTCCAGTAAAAAATACAAATTTATCTCATCCGTTCAAAAATACAAAATCAATGGCCGCAATTAATTAGGCCACCATCAATCAGCCATTAATGGGGTTTAGGATCCCTATTTTTTCTCAAGTGAATGCGGTTAGACACTTGAGAAGTTTTAGGGTCTACCAAGTTAATACCCGGTAATCTCATTGAAATGGATGACTAGGATTAACTTGCACTTTGTAAATTAAGATGACTGTGTATGTGATCTTAAATCTATATATATATATTACGAATATACGGAGTACAATAAATCAGATCTTGCTCTCAAACCCACTTTCTGAGATAAAAACTCGAAACATCTCAAATATATCTCTTTCAAAACTAAAAATTATAACCTCAATTTTTTGACACACAAAAACATCTCAAATAAATGAAACATGCTGATGAATAAAAAAACAACAAGCTTACCTCTTAAAAGGTGGAGTGCAAGGCACGCTGGATTTGGTTTGCAGACATGTGATATAAGTTCAAACTTGCTATGAAGCAGCTGCTTGTTCCTGTAAAGTAGTCTGAATTTCCTGAAGTTCTGCTAGTGGATGGCAGATCTGATATCGTTATACTCAGAACCCAATCCATTGAGTATATTGATAACAAGGTCCTCATCAGACAACGGGTTTTGAGCCAGTGCTAATGCTTCGGCAAGGGCTTGCATCTCAGTAAGATAGACGGTGATGGAACGTGTAAATTTGGTGGTACGGGCAAGTTGTGTTTTGCGCATGCACAGGTGAGATTGAGTTTGTCCAATGCAATTCTGGCCGTGAGGGCAGATGAAATAATTGGTTGAATGGTATCGGAACAACTGCCAAGAAGTCCACTAATAATGATACTTTTATCTTGGTGATACCAAATAATATAGCACGGGTTGAGCACTTGAGCTGGGTTTTAGCCGTGTCTAGAAAATGATCAGGGTTTTGATGGTGCCATCAATATAGTTCCAAGCCAATAAGGGTGGAATGAACTTGGCATATATTTTCAAACTGGAAAGTTGAAAGCAGTGAGTTTGATCGGAAAATGAGTGGTTGCTGTGAGGGCAACAACACTGGTTGATTCGGTGATTGCCATGGAAGCGAAGAGAGAGAAAAAAAATTGCTCGTTTGTGTTAGGCTCTTGATACCATGAAGAGGCGGGAATGTTTTCTCTATTCATCATCGGAGATCAAGGCTCCATTTTAAATAGATGAGAGTCTAACTACGTACCTGCCTATCTATACGAAGTGATAGCTACAATATAACTACTGGTCACGGAGATATAACTACTGGAGATATACACGGCAAAATGTACTAGTAAATACATACTACTAAATTATGTAACAATATTATGTACACAATAATTTATGTTGTAATATGCTACACGCACTTAACAATTCTCAAGATGAAATAATACTCCCTAATAAATAACATAAGACGTGCATTATTTAAATACACTCTATTGTATTCATGAGCTGTTTTCTATTCTATCAATGGGTAAAGGCGTAATGCCCATTTTGTAACTTTGTTTGATTTGAATAAAATATCAGATAAACGTTCCTAACAAAAAAAAAGAATACCTTTTTTTGTAGACAAATCTTCATGTCAGTCCGGCCTGACGGGATGCTCCGTCCGGCCGAGCCCTTTTGGGCACCTTCCCAGTAGAATTTTTTGATGAATTTTTTTAAGAATGTTCTTCATCAAGTCTAGTTTGTTCATAACAAATTTTAGCTCAAAATTCGATCGGGAATGCATTCAAATCATTTTTTGAAGTTGACTGCAGTTTTATATGTATATTTTCACGCAGTCAACTTCAAAAAATGATTTGAATGCCTTCTCGATCGAAGTTTGAGCTGAAATTTGATATGGACAAACTAGACTTGATGAGGAACATACTCAAAAAAATTCATCAAAAAATTCCACCGGTAAGGTGCCCAAACGGGCTCGGCCGGACGGAGCATCCCGTCAGGCCGGCAAGAAGACCATTTTTTTTTGTATTGGGTATTGATACATGTAAAGTAGTACTAGTATTTTACGGAGTATATTATAAGGTACAGTGTAAAATACTTTTTGAAAATGTCCCACAATTACACCAAATATTTAAACAGAACAACAAGCTTACCTATATTTTATGTTAGTATAAAATATTTATACTTTTTTACCTCACACTTTATTTACTTTAAATCCTACTCCCTCGAGTCCCTATTAAAGTTCTCACTTTCCTTTTCGAGATATCTCTGATTTAAGTTCACACTTCTATTTTAGGAAACAAAACAGTGCAAAATAGTGTCAAACAGTGTCCAAACAGTGCCAAACATTGCACCCCACAGTAAAGTCAAATTTATTTTCTTAATCTCTGTGAAGTCAAACTGTGAACTTTAATAGGGACCGGATCACCGCAGGGAGTATCAAACTATGAACGGAAATAGGGTTTATTTACTTTAAATCATATCACACTATGAAAGGAAATAGGGTAGAAGAATGTTAAGGCAGTAAAAGCATGCTCACAACACTACAAAAAAACAGGCGTGTGGCCACGGATTTTGTCCATGACTAGTTTGTCACGGATTAGTCACGGACTAGCCACGGATTTAAAAAATAAAGGTGTAACGGATTTGTCCGTGAATAAACTAAGTCCGTGAATAAACTTAGTCACGGATATAATCCGTGACTAAAGACCTCCGGTAGCCCCAATTTTGTTTCCCGGCCGTTTTTTTAATTCCGGCATTTAGTCACAAACATATCCGTGACTATGGCCGTGCCTGAAAAAAATTAAACTTTCAATGCTCAAAATTTAATTCGTACGCGTAGTTTGTACGAATTAGTTTAGTCACGGACAAATCCGTGACTAAAATGTGGATTACGTGCGTAAATATCGTACCTCTCCGTTACTAAATACGTGACTAAATACGAATTAATTCAGCCTCCGAAGTTATATTCAATTGAGATTTACGTACGTAAATATGGTAACTACCATACCTAATAGGCTAATAATGATACAACAATGCTTGATGTATTCACTCTTATACCCACCATGTTTGTGGAGGTTTTTTTGTCCAACCCGGTTCATAGACAATATTTTATTTGTGCAAAATATTGTCTGTGAGTCAAGATTCACGACAAAAAAACCCTTCACAAACATAGGTGGGTACAAAAGTGGGTATAAGAGTGGGTACAAAGATCATTTTTGATAATGATATGCCTAGGATGTTTTTACTTGGACTATAATCTGTCCAAGACAAGGCCAGACCAGTTCAGACCAGTTCAGACCAGACCAGACCAGACCAGACCAGACCAGACCAGACCAGAGCAGACCAGACATGGATAGTTATAAAAATACAAAGAGACCAGACATTACCATATCAGACCAGACCAGTCCAGACCAGATCATATCAGACCAGACTAACAAATTACAGTCCGAGTAAAAACATCCCTAGTCATAAATATGTGTACATATTTAATTATCAAAATATATTCGTACCACTAGTGTGTCTGTTAAATATGGTTTGAATTGATATTTTAGAAAATTGAGTACGAATTATGTATAATTAAACATTACAAAAATATGAATTGATTTTTCAAGATATTTATCTCTTTCACTACTTTAATCATTTTTTGAAAAAACAAAACATACTTTATAATTTCTTAATTAATTAATTTGCTTCTGTAAATACTCGCGCGGCCCCAAAGATGCAATAAACAAACACATCTTTTAAAAATTAAAACAAATCACGAGAAATATTCAAAAGACATAGTTGTGCACAGGGGCAGAGTTAGGGTATTGCGCCGGATTGGATGGGTACAAAGAATATTTTTCAAACAAATTAAATTTTACACGAGATATTTTATACTAAAAATATAGACATTTTTTAAATTTAGGGTTGAAACTCAATGGAGCCAGGCCGGTTACCGTGCCTGGTGAGAGGTCTCGAGTTTGAAACCCGCTAGGCACATAAGGGTTTGAAACTCAATTGAGTGAGTTTCAGCCCTGATTACTCAAGTATTTATGTTTGCACGTCCCCTTTTTAATATTACTGTCAAGCATATATATAGGGTACGCTTCTAATGAGAACCATGCTTAACGTGAGAATCGTGAGAACTCCACTTTTAACTCAATTTGATATACTATAACCTTTGTACGTTACACTTTTTCAAAACATGACAAATCAAATAACTATGGTGGCAAATTCGTAAATATTTCGTCATTATGAAAATGTGTAACATGCAAACATAATAGTGTATCATATTAAGTTAAAAGTTGAGTTCTCACGATTCTCACGTTAAGAATGATTCTCTCATTTGATTGAAAATTGATTTTAAGCTAATTCTCGAAAGCATTTTTTAGAATCGTTTTTTACAAGTTACCAGATCAGACGCACTCTAAGGGCTGGTTTGCAACAGCTTTAAAAAGGCATTTCTTATCTTTTGGCTTTAAAAAGCTCTTATTTACCAAACACTACCAATTTTTTACTTTTCTCGGCTTTCGTGTCAAAAGTGTTTTCCCCCTTATTATACACCAAAAGCACTTATTTTACCAAACACTACCAACTTTTACTTTTCAAAATCACTTGTTTCTCAAACACTATCAACTTTTACAACTAATCACTTTTTCCAAATCACCCCAAAAGTGCTTTTTTCAAAGCAGAAGTTGTTGCAAACACTCCCTAACTCGATTGTGAAACTCAGGCCCATGCACGCGCCAATAATAAAATAAGGTAGTAGGCGATAAGTAGCAATCAAGGATTAATTGGCAGCAATAAGTACGTATACGTAACGTCACCACTCACCAGAAAATTAGACAGAAGAAATTGAAAAGGTAGTTGCTTCGTTTAATTACTTGCCTTAATTGGCAATACGTTTAAGTTTACGTATACGTATACGTCTAATTACTTGCCTTAATTGGAAAATTAGACAAAAGAAAATTATACGTAACGCGGCCTCACACTTTGGGTCTGTTTGCAACTGCTTTTAAAAAAGCACTTCTCAGCTTTTGGCTTTAAAAAAGCACTTATTTTCCCAAACACTAAAACTTTTATTTTTCTCGGCTTCCGCATCAAAAGTGCTTTTACTTTTTCTATTACACAAAAAGCACTTATTTTACCAAACACTACCCACTTTTACTTTTCAAAATCACTTTTTTCTCAAACACTATCAACTTTTATTTAATCACTTCTCCCCATTTCATTAAAAAAAAGAACTTTTTTAAAAGCAGAAGCTGTTGCAAACAGACCCTTTGGCAGTTTGGTGCCGTTTGTTTTGGCAAACAGCAAACTGACATTATTCATCAACCACGTGTACTCTTAAACATGTACGATAAGCAAGGGAAAAATAATAATAATAATACTCCAAACTTTGAATGGATGTGAGGTAAGCACCTCAAACTTGTATATGTAATTTAAATACTCTAAACTTTAAATAAAAAGTTGTTTTTGCACCATTTTCATGTATTATTTCTTTCAAAAATGAAAATTTATGGGATTAATTACATAATTTAAAATAAAAAATTAAAAGTGTTGCAATTATATAGATTGATAGTAACATTATCTATTTTCTAGTGGAAGTTTAGAATGTTAATTGTGTCATCATGAATTCTAAAATATATTAAACTATGAAATTAACACCATAAACTTTCGTTTTTGAAAGAAAAAAATACTTGACTATAATGCTAAAATAACTTTTATATAAAGTTTGGGGTATTCAAATTACATATGCAAGTTTGGGGTGTTTATCTCACATCTTTTCAAAGTTTGGAATATTTTATTTATTTTTCCCCGATAAGCAAAACCAATCCAACTAGTGGTTTTTAAATAGCAAAAGTTTATTAGAGGTGGAATCTTGATCTCTTTTCAATTAGTGGTTTGAGAGTAGTAGTTTATTCATTTGAAAATTGCTATGGGTACCCCAAGTATACCACATTTCATACCCCATATAAAACCTCCCCTTTTTACCATCCTTTTTAATTACCTCCTTTTCTCTCACATCTCTCCTACTCCACCCACTCTCTTCTTTTCCGTCAAAAACACTCCCCCCCTTCCTTTGTTCGAGGCTGCTACAGTACTCAAGCCAAGCTCCACAAACCTTCCTCCTTCATCTTCTTGGAAGGATATCATGGGGACTGAGGTGCATTTGGACGAGTTGAGTGGGGAAGAAGGTCAACTGAATGGTTTGACATGGGGAGATGACGTGGGTGACGCCGTGGGTGACGGTGGTAATCTCCCAGCTCCGGTGGGTGTTGAACTGAATGCGACTTCAAGGGAAGAAGTTGAAGAAGGTGTGAAAGTTGAAGCTTTGGACTGTTTGGAGAAGGGTATGTTGATTTTTCCTCATTTTTTGGTATTTCGTTGGTTAGACAGACAACTTGCATTTGCAGCGTCTGTCTAGCCTAAACTCGTAGTTGGTAGAGTGGTACATAAAATGTGTGTGCGGTCAGACAACTTAAAATGTTTGTCTGCGTGCGGAAATGTCTGTATTCGCATGGGGAAAATGTATATGACTATGTATAAGCATGTATGTATTCTACTTCACGTTTGTGACATTAGCAGTCTGGGACATAATGCTTATATGTCAAACTGACAGACAAAATTTGTCTGTGCCAGACATTAGTAGTCTGGGAATAATGCTTGTATGTCAAATTGACAGACAAAATTTTTGTCTGTGCTAGACAATAGTAGTCTGGGACATAATGCTTATATGTCAAATCGATAGACAAAATTTGTCTGTGCCAGACATAAGTAGTCTGGGACATAATGCTTGTATGTCAAACTGACAGACAAAATTTGTCTGTGCCAGACATTAGTAGTCTGGGACATAATGCTTGTGTATATCAAATTGACAGACAAAATTTGTCTGTGCCAGACATTAGTAGTCTGGGACATAATGCTTGTGTATGTCCACCTGACAGAAAAAATTTGTCTATGCTAGACAAATTGGTTGTAACTAATGTGTTGTGTATTCATTATAGGTATACACTTCAAGATGATGAATGGCTTAAGGTCATGTTTGAAGAACGTCAAAGGTGGGTACCTTGTTACTTGAAAACTTCATTCTGGGCAGGTACGTCCACAACTCAACGAAGTGAGAGCATCAACGCTTTCTTCGACCTTTTTGTGCACTCTAAAACAAGTCTAAAACAATTCGTGGAGCAATATGGTTGTGCCTTAAAATTTAAGGCTGAAAAAGAGTTTCAAGCGGACGCAGAGTCATTTTCAAAATTGGTACCGTGTGTTTCGAAATTTCCTATGGAGAAACAAATGCAAGGAATATACACAATGGCGAAGTTCAAGGAGTTTCGAGATGAAGTGGTTGGCAAGCTTTATTGTGACATCATTCAATGGGATGGCGGTAAAATTTATCATGTCAAAGAAGAAGTTAAAATAACAGAGGACTTTTACAAGACTGTTTACTTCATAGTGGAATATGATTCTGGCTTGTGTGAATGCAAATGTAGTTGTCATTTGTTTGAATGTAGAGGCATTGTGTGTAGACATATGTTTATGGTTCTACAGCGCAACGATGTTAAAATCTTGCATGAGGTGTACATCATGCGGAGATGGAGGCAAGATGTAAAGCCAGACATATTCACATCCCGAGACAGACAAAAATGAATACCCTGCCAGACATATTAACATACCGACACAGACAAAATTGAATTCCCTGCCAGACATATTAACATCAAAAACTTAATTGCATTTGCTGAAATTATGTTCATGTAACCGCTTTTTCTCAAATGCCACCTTTGTATAGTTTGCAACAAACACAAAAAAACATAATGTTCCACACACATCGTACAGGGAAATTCATGGTGTTTGCAAAGCTGGACTATTAACCCACAAAAATAGGCTTCCCAAGCTAATGAAGAATTCCTATGATTCCTCCACCTTCTTCACTCCCCACAATCGAACAGCATATTGGCATCTCTTGTTCCACATGTTGGCATACTCACAACCTGGAAGCAAGTCCTTTCCCATTAAAAGATGCTCTGCGAAGTCCTTTCCCATTTAAGAACTTCTGCAAAGTTCTTAAATTCTTCTAATTGATCCTTTGTCAGCGCAGCTTTGACCAAGCTTACAGCCTCTCTGAAATATGAGCACATAGATAACTGGGCTGGAAAGTGCTTGCAAAATGGAATTTGAACTTCGAATGACCTGTATAATTAACACAAATAAAAACCAAACATTTCAGACAACTCAGAAGGAAGGACATACATTTTATATCACTTGACAGACAAGTATGTTCACAGGACAGGCAACGTCCACAACAATATAAGCAATTTCAAATCACATGCACAACAAGTCTATGTCAAAATGAGGAGCCAGACAATTTTAATGATTTGCCAGAAAGTTATGTCTGTCCTTAGTAAGAAGGTTATATAGTTGAACATATTAATGTTTAAATTTGTGTTGAATATTTCGTAACAAGGTTATACGGTTGAACAAATTAATGTTTAAATTTGTTAGACATTAATGCAAGAAAAACTGATAAGTAAAAGAAGGTTATCTAGTAAGAATGATACTTTACACTTGGAGTTCATACTTAAAACCAGAAACCTTATAAACCAAGTTTCATATTCCAGAAAGCTGAAATCATACCAAAGGGTATGCTTTGACAGTTTGACACATTACTTAGTTTTTAAACCATTCATAACTCAAAAATTACATTCAAAGGTCATAGATTATAAAGCATTCATAGCTAACAAAATTTACATTTAAAACATCTCATTAACCAAACTTGCCAGACTCTGAGGGTGTTCATACTTTCAACTGTGGAAGCTTTCCCGACAACTATATATGTTCACCTAACAGACAACTACACAATAATTTTCTAGACAACTATGTTCACCTAACAGACAACTACACAATAATTTTAATGGTTTGCTAGACAACTATGTTCACATGATAAACAACTACAAATGGCTTGCCAGACAATTCATTTCAAATGACAGACATCTCATACGCCTGGCCAGACAACTCTAATGACATCACAGACAACTTTCGAGAATTCAAAATGCAATGACACACACAACCAAACAGCCATGCACAGACAAGTTCAAAGTGTTCAGACAAACACAATGACAAACAACACAAAATTTAAACACCAAGATAATATCAATTCAAAAAATCCAAAAAAATTGAAAAAATTACATACCTTTCAGCCATATGTTTTAAGCTTGAACAATGGACCTTAAAACCTTCATGAGGGTGGTTCGTTTGACGGTGGTGAACAGTGCACGACGGTGGTTCCTTCCTTGGGTTTCCGAACTCGTTCGATTTGAGGTGAGGCCGCCGGTTGTGAGGGTGAGGCCGCCGGTTGTGGGGGTGAGGACGCCGGTTGTGGGGGACGAGTTGGGAGGGGGCAAACTTCGACGGTGGGGAGGGGGAGTGGTTTTCGAAAGTGCCTGGGGAAGGGAAAAGGTTGGGGGCGGCCGGCGGGATATTTGGTGAGGGGGAGGACACACATGAGGGAGAGGGAATGGAATGGAAAGGGGGGTAAATTTTTGGAATGGCTTTTATATGGGGTATGAAATGGGGTATACTTGGGGTACCCATAGCAATTTTGTATTCATTTTAGATGAGCTAAGCCAATCCAACAAGTGGTTCTTATGTTTGAGACATAGGATGTTTTGACTTGGACGCTAATTTGTTGGTAAGGTCTGATTTGATCTGTTTAAGTCTGGTTTGGTCTGGTCTGATCTGAACTAGTCTTGTAAACGTTTGGTCTCTGTGTATTAAATAACTACGGAAGTTAAGTCTGATCTGGTCTGTTTAAGTCTGGTCTAGTCTGTTTAAGTCTGCTCTGGTCTGGTCTGGGACTAAAAACTATCCCACAAAAACATCTACAGTTGTGCAACTTAGGATGTTTTTGCTTGATCTCTTTTCAATTTCAAATCAGACTTAAACAGATCAATCCAAATCAGATCAAACTTAAACAGGCCAGATTAGACTTTCATCATCGTTATAAATTGCAAAGGGACTAGACATTTATGACACCAGACCATCCCAGTTTAGAGCAGAGCAGACCAGTAAAATTCAATTCAATTAAAAACATCCTTATTTTAAGTCTACAATTTGCATCTCATATATTCTTCTTTTTTTGAACAAATTTGCATCTCATATACTACCTCCGTCCCGCTAAGATTGTCCCATTTTACCTTTTCGGTTCGTCCCACTAAGATTGTCTCATACCAAATTAGGCAAAATTTGTGTGACTCCAAATTATTCTTACTTTATCAATTCAATATCAACCACATAACTCACTTTTTATTAGTTTGCGTGTCACTCACTCTTGTCCCATTGTTAGCCGGACGGAGGGAGTAAATTAATATGGAGTACGTAGTATAATTAAGTTTGCATCACAAATTTACAAATATATATGTTGGGGGTTATTTCTCTTATAACATTTAATACGTAGACACGTAGTATTGTATTTGAATTATGACCCAAGTCACCCAACTCTGGCTTTATACTTCTGAGAATCTGAGATGGGTCAAAATGTCAAATTGATACGATGGTAATATGTGGCTCTGTTAGTTTATTCACGTATAATTCGCGTATAATACACTCAAACGTATAATTCACGTATAATACTCCCGTTTATGAATTTTTCAAAAAATTCGGAAAAAAATCGCGTACTTTAAGGATAAAATGTATAATACACGTACCGTACGTATTGATACGTATTTTATTCCCGTATAATACACTCGTTTATGAATTTTTTAGAAAATTCTGGAAACCTCACGTACTTTAAGCATAAAATGTATAATACACATACTGTATGTATTGATACATATTTTATTCAAAAACACACACCATTAAACGGAAGCCTAATGTAGTGATACAACTGAAACAAAATGTTTAGCTGCTCAATATTATTTATATTGCTTGAAAAATTTATACCTTATATGTTCGTTAATTGTTTCATAGTCATTACATTTAATAAATTAGCTTCTTAAATTCGTAATCTTTTTCAATACTACTATTGTACTACTAATGTATTACTTTTGTTCTCCACCCATACCAAGACTCCAAAGAGATCGAAAAATGTTGTGGCGGCTCACCAAACTCACGGTCACAGTAATATCAACTATTCTCTAATAATATCTCTCTACTTCTACTCAAATAGGCAATGCCATTTTTATTACTTATTGTACTTATGTGTTCAAATCCATATATATGAAAACATTATTCCATACATTTTAAATTGTTGAAGAATGTGGTTCAAATGCTAAAAAACTTTTTATTTCTATTATTAAATTAGTATATAAGACACATATTATATGCCGTATTTTTAAACTGTGAAACGTTTAAAACGAGTCCGTATCTTTATATATTTCACAAACGTATGAAACATATATTAAGCCGTATTTTATATAATTGTATCGTATTATACACGAACGTACGTATTATTAGGGCTGGGACTTTGGAACCAAGAACCGGAGAACCGAACCGGACTGAACCGTTTTGACCCGGTTCGGTTCGGTTCCAAAATTTATTAGTTATTTGTTAACGGTTCGGTTCCTGTTTTTTATTAATGGTTCGGTTCTCGGTTCCTAAAAAAATATGTACCAGGAACCGTTAAGGAACCGTTATATATATTAATTAAAATTATATATATTTCTTATGAGTATATATATTTTAATGTATATTTACTTATTCATTTTTATATTACAATCATTATTTTAGTTTAGTTATTTAACTATTTAAAATTATTATTCACTTCAACCGGATCTCTTAAGCTTCTTAGGCATCTTATTAGGTCCAAACTCTAGCGGGTCAAAACTCGGAAGGTCCAAACTATTTAAACTTATTATTCTCTTTAACTGGTCAACATATTTGTATTGTAATTTCAAACGTTGAATGTCTATTCAGCAAAAATTTAGTCGTGATTTGTAAGAACATTTTCAGAGACTAGGAACCGTTAAATGACAAGAACCGAACCGTTAAGAACGGTTCGGTTCCTTATCGGTTCTATAAAATAATCTATAAGAACCGAACCATTAATAAAATGTCATATTTTCAAACGGTTCCACATATTTTGCCTAGGAACTGAACCGGTCCCAGACCTACGTATTATTGTATTATTCACGAACCGTATATTACTAACAAAGATATGTGGTTCTCATATTTGACATTAATATTTCAATTGGATCAAATTGTAAATTATGATTAAATGCAGATTTCATATTGGATATCAAATTTTAAATGAACCAAATAAAAACGAATTTAACGTTTCTAGGCATATTTGTGTAAAGTGTTAGAGACTGTATAATCAAGTTTTTCTTAAATTATTTTTGGAAACACGTTTCTTAATTTATTTTAGGAAACGCATCCTAGTTGTCTTGGGGTTAGGTTTTACTTCTCTATAAATACAAGCTCTCTCCATTGTAATCAGATGTGGGTCCGAAAATAGCAATAATATTCCTGGCATGGTAGCACCCCCAGACGTAATCATTCGTGGCGAACTGGGTTACCAAATTTTCGCGTGTTCTTCGTTATTGTTCTTCGTGTGCGTGAGTTTAATTCCTAACAATTGGCATCAGAGCCCTAGGTTCGAAGGGAGATCTCACGATGGCAGACAATTTGAAGACACCGGTGATGCAGTTTGACGGAACGAATTACGGATTCTGGAAGTTGCAGATCGAAGATTACCTGTACGGTAAAGATCTGTATCAACCTCTGGATGATAAGCCGGAAGACATGAAGGAGAGCGATTGGAACTTGCTGGATAAAAAGCGATGAGCGTGGTTCGATTATCGCTGTCCAGAAACATCGCCCTACACACCGTCAAAGCAAAAACGACGAAGAAGATGTTGCAGATTTTATCGTATATGTACGAAAATTCATCCGCTGTGAACAAAGTTCATCTTATGAGGCGTCTTTTTAATCTAAAGATGTCAGAAAGCACGGGAGTGGTGAATCATCTCAACAAGTTCAATGTGATCACCACACAGTTGAGCGCGGTTGAGATAAAATTCGACGACGAAATTCATGCCCCTATTCTGTTGTCTTCTCTCCTGGAAAGCTAGAACGGAACAGTGACTGCAGTAAGCACTTCGGCAGGAAAAGAGAAACTGAAATTCGATGAAGTCAAAAATCTGGTGGTTAGTGAAGAAAGTCGCAGGAAGGAATCAGGCTTGGCTTCTGGATCGGCGTTGAGTACAGAGAACCCGGGCAGAACGAAGTCGAAGTCCAAGTCAAATAGGGATAGATCAAGATCTAAATCCAAATCAAAAAGCAAGGGTAAGAAGGACAGAAGTCAGATCAAGAGCTGGAATTGTGAGGAGTATCCGAGTATGGACACTTCAAGAATCAGTGTAAGGAGCAGATCAAGGATCAGAAGGAGAAGACATCCGCCAATGTAGTGACAGAATCATCGGGCGGTGAACTCCTGATCCTGAGCGTGAGCAGTCCGTTGGAGTCATGGGTTCTGGATTCTGGAGCTTCGTTCCATTCATGTGGTAATGCGGAAGTGATGGAATAGTATACTCCCTGCAATTTTGGAGATGAGCCTCTTAAAATTATCGGTAAGGGGACAGTCCACGTGAAGACTCCGAACGGATGCATGCTGAAACTGAATGGTGTCCGACACATTCCTGGTTTGAGGAGGAATCTTCTTTCAATTCGGCAGCTGGATGAGGAAGGTTATGGAGTTACATTCGGCAGCAGAAATTAGAAGATCGCCAAGGGAACCCTGTTGGTTGCTAAAGGGAAGAAGGAGGGTACGTTGCACATGACAACGAACTCGAAGGACTGCATTGATGTTGCTGCCGCTGCAACAAACGATGTGGATTTGTGACACTGTCGCCTCAGTCACATGAGTGAAAAGGGGATGAAGGAGCTGTGCTCGAAGGGCAAACTTTTCGGCCTGAAGACCGTTGAGGTTGACTTATGCGAGGATTGCATATTCGGGAAATAGAAATGTGTCAGCTTCTCGAAGGGAAGACGAGCTATTAAACCGGAGAAGCTGGAACTAGTTCACACCAACCTTTGGGGACCTGCAGAAGTTACATCCTTGGGAGGATCCGCCTACTACATGACCTTTATTGATGATGCCACAAGAAAGGTATGGGTTTATTTTCTCAAAAATAAATCTGATGCCTTTGATGCTTTCAGGAGGTGGAAAGCTCTTGTTGAGACAGAGACAGGTCTGAAATTGAAGTGCCTTTGGTCTGACAATGGAGGTGAGTATGAACTGCATGAGTTCAAGAAGTTTTGTGCTGAGAATGGGGTTCGTATGGAAAAGACAACAAAGGGGACTCTGCAGCATAATGGCGTTGCTGAACGCATGAACAGAACACTGAATGAGTGGGCTAGGTGCATGAGGTTGAAGAGTGGCTTACCGAAGATGTTTTGGGCGGATGCAGTGAACCCCGCGACTTTTCTCATCAACAGAAGTCCAACAATCTTGTTGGAGAATGGCATTCCTGAAGAAAGGTGGATGGGTAAGGAGGTTAATTTGTCCTATA